AAACCGAATGAAAAGATTCGAGATGAAGTGGACATTGAACGACACAAGCTCATGACTTCAGTAACGTTTGAAATTTCACCGTCAGTAAGTAGAAATATCTGACGTGAACAGCCTAAAGTTGGCGTTTCACTATGTAGCTGTTGAAGTGGACTGAGAAGTTCTGTACCACCTAAATCAGCGTTCATATCTTTGATGAGCTGTTGAGCCTTGTTCACATTATGTTCATTGTAGACAGCTGTGACTTCATTCTCAAACAGAGTTTGGTAGGTTGAACCAAATCGAATGATGTTAAATCGACAGTTGACAGGCAGACTTTTCAAGAACAGTAACATTGCCTGTCGAGCTAGACCAATTTTGTTTTCATCCTGCATTGAACCACTGCAATCGACGACGAACACAAACTCGTTCGTGTATGAATTACCACTTCCTGATGCCTTCTTGCAATCAGCTTCATTCGGAGTAAATGATGTCATAATGGCCAGTTGTCCATTTTGATTCTTCTCCATAGCTAAGATGGTATTTGTTCTCGTTTCACTCAGTTGTATTTCTAAAATAATATCATGATCCAGATGTGCCGATCGCTGACCGAGCGACACTTCATAATAGTCGTTATTTCCCAGACTGACATTGATCGGATGTGATGGAGATGCAACTTGCGATACTAGCTGATTCAGCTTGTCGATTTTGCATTCAAACTCAAGTGTGTACGGTGTCTGTTGAACGTATTGAGATGTTGTACCAGCGACTGTTGAAGAGATGGCTCCTTTCTTGGGATTGTAACGTGGTGCAATGGTGGTTGGAATGACGAAACGAATTTTATTGCTACCACTAACTAAATCCAGTTCTGTTACATAACTGATTCTGATCTCACACTCCTTGCCTGACGGTAAGGCACCGACACTGATGACGAAGCAATCCTGTGATTTCTCATCCTGTTCCAACAGATAAGCACCGTGACCTTGTTGTAATGCTTCACTGTACGCTCGTTGAGCTTCCTTCTTTTCTTTCAATTGGGCAACGATTTCACGCTCATCAATTTTAGCTGTGAATGAGTAGATAGCTGCATTCTCTTCAATTGGAAAACAGTAGACAGCTTCAATCGATGTTTGTTCATTATTTTGAAACAATTGTGTAATTGTCACATCAGCAGCAAAGGAGTGAATTTTAGCTTGGACTTTGACTTGTTTCAATGGAATGTGTTTTATTGATTGATTCTGAACACGGAGCATAATTCTTCTTTGTATGAGCACGTTTAATAAAAGACTAGTTTAACTCAAAAGAAAGTGAGAGACGATCTGTTTATATTATTATACATGGATTAGATTGCTCAATAAGAGAGAAAAATGACGTGTCAGTCATTCAGATACACAGTAGAGCGATAGTCACATTACTATAGGAAGGAAAGAAATGCAAAAATGGGTAAGAATATCCCACCTTGTCAGTAAAAATATTACAGAGAGAAAAAGTTTTATCAAAAAAGTAATATTTATAGTGTTGTGCTATCGTGATTTATTTGTAAAGTCAATAGTATGCAGTGGCATTTTGCACAGAGAGAGTGGAAGAGATGTAAATCAATCTTCGCTTATCTCCGTACTTATTATAAGCTTTATTATATTATGTGATGAAGAGACGAAAAAGAATACTGGATAAAAAACATATGAACAGAACAAAAAATAGAGGAAAAAATCCGTGAGATCATTTTGACTGTTCTGTAAAGTACAAAGTTACTAATGTACACTACACAGTGGGCATCCAAGCGGACATTAGGCCGAAAATTCAAATAATTCGTATATCAAATATAAATAGTGTAAAATGTAGCCCTTGAAATTCTCTATCGAATGGTGTATAAATGTCTATTGTGAAAA